AACACGAAAACAAGAATGCAAAATTCAGTTGTACCAGATCATTAATTATGTTTAGAGGTACAGCTTCAAGTAATGTTACATCTAAGATAAAGCAATTGTACAGCCATAGGTATTTGCTCGATTGTTTTCACCATACTGAGCTGGGAACCTATTCCTGAGTTAAACCAGCAGAGTACTTAGACTGTTTTTTGACATTTAATTTGGTAAAATTTTGTTATTGCATATATAAATATGCAATATAAAATTGTAAATAATCGAAATATAAAAATATGTCAATAAAATAGTTGTGATTGTTAGTAAACTTTGCTGTATACTGTCTTTGATAAAAACAAAAAAGAGTGATTCGAAACTTTCTGACTGATTTACGAGCAATTTACTAGGAGAGGTTTCACATCCACCCGCTAAAATAATCTGATTCAAAAACGCATTAATACTTCATGAGCTGTTTAGCCTATCACACGAGGCAAATCGATCACGTGTATGAACCTTTATAGCCGGTATAGAATAATCATTCTGAAAAGCCCGGAGAGGGTTTTGATTTCGGTCTTGGGGAAAATCGGGGTACAATTCATAAACAACTAAATCATCACTGAATTATTAATGAAAATATGATTACTATGATCACTAGAGATCTTTCACGTTAATTTTAATACCAAATCATTCCCCAAAAAGGCAGCATACAAAAACATTAACCGCAGTAAACAACAAAGTTTATTTTCCTGATAATTTCTTATTAGAAAAGAAATTCGTTCTTTTACTAATTACCATTGTTCACAAAATTAATTGTGCAGTTTTGAATACTCTCAACTTCAACTCTAAATCCTATTTCCTCTAAGTTGGCGTCTTGAATTCTTCTTGAACTTTGCCACTCGTCAAAAATTTTTAAGCCCACTTTGTGGCATACTGAGTAGCCCTTGGAACACAAGTATCCAAGTAATCTTTCTCTTCCTTCCCATTTTTTGGTTCTCGAAACACGCGTTTGGGCGGCATTTCAAGGAAAAGCTTTCTGAACGTTAACAGCAGCCAAACAAGGAGCACTTTTCCCCTTTGTATGTAATTAACTTTTAATGCATTCAAATCACATTTACAAAAATCCCTAGAAAGGCACGGGTTTTGGAGGCTATTTAATGCATTCATATAACGTTTGGAAAAATCCCTAGAGAGGCACGGGTCTTTGAAGCTCGCAGCTGTTGGCGCTGAAAACAAAGACATGTCCATAGCTAATTAGTGGGGCGCGAATGTTGGGACGCTAAGAAAAGTTGTACAAACCACACAGAGTGGATGGCAGCTAGAATCTTTCCTTTAAATAATTTACTACTGTTATTACTGTTGTAAGCGTATTCCACGTGTATTTGCGATTTATTTTGCTGAGATGTGTTACTATTTGTTAACCCAAAGATGGTGGATTAGAGTTATTGATGTGACCTGATGTTACCGCCGCAGAACCATAGCTTCTTTTTCGTTTTTGTTCTCTTTTTATGGATTGGACATTTACTTTGATATTACATGAGGTGTGAAATGAGAAACTTGTCACCCGGATGAAAAAGCACATGTTTTGGAGTAGAGAAGAAGGTTTCTTTTTGGCTTTGTAAAAAACTGGCAGAGTTTTGGAATAAATTGTGGGAAACAAATTACAAATGATGTATATTTGAAGTCTTGGCAACACCTGATTTAATAAATTTTCTGATTAAAGACCTATCTACCTGCATAAGAATGCTCTTGGGAAGCCACTTGGTGCTGTGTTCGTCTACCAGCCTCTCCGAGCCCATGTTCACTTGCTGGTCATAAAAGGTCTTGATGGGCCACACCTTAATGAGAATCACAGAGAACATGTGTGTAGTTTAGTAAGAACGAGAAGGCGAATCATCCTAATTCAATTAATGTACATCGTGGAGAAGAAGGAAAGGAAGGGGGCGGGGCTATATAATAAGTTGTATTCTTAAACCTTTGCACCCTAATATCAGTATGCATATTCTCCATTCTGTTCTCTATACATTTCTTAAGGTGCTGACAAGGAGAATTTAACAATCAAAAGCTTCTTTAGTTGATGATCATTTCCTTTATTCTCCTGACCTCAATGTGTGATTCAGGGGGGGACAGAGTAAGGAGATATTACACTCTTGGGGGGGTGAAAGAGTAAATATTACACTCTTGGGGGTGAAAGAGTAAATGACCCACAGTTTTTGTCAAGGCAAAAATAATAAAAAAATCTTTTCTAAACACTTTGTTCTATTGTTGGTATCATGATAAGTACTACAGTCAGTTCATTTTCTTTTCAACAAAACTTGCCAACCTCAAATCCCCATCAAATGCTGCCCCAACAGCCATTTTATGCCTCCCAGAAAATATGTTATGCAGAACACCTATTGAGGCTGTTATGTTCAAAGCAAAATGTTATCATGTGGCAAATTAATTAACCTGATTGATAATCTGCTTTAAAAGTGACAAAATGTTTTCATTACAGATTTAATCGAATTATGACTTTTTATTCTGAGAAAAGAAATTTTACAAACTAAGTATTGTGTATGTACCAAATAGAGTGTTTTCAATCTCCACACTTACCTTCACTGGCCATAAAATTCAGTGCATCATGTCTGTTGCAATAAGCCTCCAGTGCTACCATAAGAAAGCTACATTTAAATGTAAAAAAAGTATAATTTCTATATTTTTTCATTTTAACTAAACCTGAAACATTTTATTTCTTTAAATATTAGAATAGAACTATCTATTAGGGACCACCTTGTGATTTTGATTATTTTTGTAATTTTGAATTTGTCTCAGGGGAGGTTGGGTGTGGGCGGTATAAGGTCTCTCTAATTAATTCAAGAAGATTCAAGTGAAGTGAGACCATTATAATCTCATATTTTCTTTGAAAATCAA